GTGAGGGAGTGYATCCTGMAGTTTGGCAGTTKGGGACAGCACATTCTGGGAACAAGATTAGCAAACAGTTCACAGTTGGGGACAACACATCCTGGGAACAAGATTTCAACAGTGTTTTGTTAAGCGTATAGAAAAACAGAGTGACAAGTACCTATTTTATTAACCTTTCAGTTCACTAAGACAATAAGGCAAAACAACAATAAACAACCACCTCCCAAACCTAAAACAAAACGCATGCACACAATTCCTTTTAAATACGTACTAGGTCCCCAAGTGCCTCTGAGCGCCATGACAGTATTGACTCAGTCCCTGTGAATATAAACAAAGAAACAAAACAGCCATGTGCTGCTAACCATTACAGATTGCTTTAAATGGCCAAGTGCTGAGAAATACAGAGGTAAGTAAAACCCTGGGGACCACCAGCAACTGTATGTTTTTGTCTATTTGTATATTTTTAAATATTTTGAGTTTTCCAGAAATGAACATTTATAATAGGTAACATTTAGGAGAGAGGATGTCACAATGACATGGTGGACGACCCTGCCTCCAGGTTGAACCAGTCCACGTGTTTTCTTACTGCACACTGGAACACGCCTTCCCCAGCGATGATTAAACACATTTCTTGTGAGTGGGCAGTAAATTGGTGCCAATCTGCCCGACTCCTCAGTGCCACTCGGGAGACAGGGAAATGAAAGATAAAGCAGTTCTACCTGGATTTGCTTGCGGTCTAGAAAGAGATGTGAATACCAGACCCAGACTAGCATAAAGACAGGCCAGATTCAAAGAGGAGGCGACACTAAACCCGGGCTTGAAGGGTGAGTGGGAGTTTGCCATGTGGACCAGGGGCAAAGCAAAAAGTGTTTCCGAAGGCCTGTGGGCTCCGGGGAGGGGTGGAGTGTGGCAGCAGCTCAGGGGGAGGAGGGACAGCGAGGACTCCACCAGAATGGCTGCTTCACCAGGCCAGTGGATTCTGTGGTTTGCAGAAAGACCCCGAGCCTGGGTCCCCCCAGGCCACAACAGTGTGCCGGCTGACTTCGTGAGCTAGGAACTGGACCAGAGAACGGTGAAGCCATCAGCTTTGTAGAAGAGGTGAATTCAGAAAGCAGACTGGGAGCTGCCAGGGTTGGGAGGGAGGGGAGGACAGGGAGTGTGCTCCTTAGTGCCTCAGGGTCTCCTTGTGGGGTGATTAAGTGTCTAGGAAGGAGCGGGGTCAGTGGCACAGCCTTGGGAATATTACTAAAGCCGGGGAAGTGGACACTTTAAAATGGAGCTGTCTCAGGCACCTGAGCTGTCTCTCAGTCATTAAAATACGTGTGGATGAAGCGTCTCTGGACCTGCGTCTCCAGGCTGTGGGATGGCCAGAGCCTTCTCTGATCAACACAGGCAGCACCAAGCTTCCACTTGCTGCTGGTGCTGGGCGGCCTCCCTCACCCGTCCTGGGATCAGGCTGGAGGTGGGAAGCCCAGAGCCTGCAGCCTGTCCCCTGTGCAGGAACCCGAGGGCCTGGAACCAGTCTCGCCTCCTCTGAGATAGTAAGCTCACAGAACTGTGGGGATGGAGATTCTCAGCCATTCTGGACTGTCCAGAACCATAAAAAATGCCCATCACCTTGTCCTGACTCCAGCATATGCAACTGCCTAAGGGTGCAGAATTAGAAGGCAGAGCAATAATAGCTAAAGCAAGAACTGTTTTTTTTTTTTTTTTAACTAATAGCCCATTTGATTCTTACAATACCACCATGATGGAGATATTATCTATACAGATAAGGAAACCGAGGCACAGAGAGAGTAATCTACTTACCCATAGTGACACGGTTTGGAGTAGGAAGGGACCAGGTTCCAGATCAGGGCATAGTGCTAGGGTTTGGCTGGGATTCCCCCCCAAGGTTTGTGTGTTGGAAGTTTAGTCCCCAGGGTGGTAATGTTAAGTGGTGGGGCCTTTAAGAGGTGGGGCCTGGTGAGAGGTCCTGGGGCACTTCCCCTGGGACTCAGGTAGTTCTGAGTTACTTTTCACCTGCTCACCCTGGCTTCCTATCTTCTTCTCACACTTCCTCCTGCCATGATGCCAATTCACCAAAGGGTCCTCACCAGAGCTGAGCTGATGCTGACACCATGCCCTTGCACCTCCAGAACTGTGAGCCACATGAACCTATTTATAAAGTTCCAGCCTCAGGTATTTCCTTATAGTAATGGAAAACAGACCACTTCATGTGGCCTAGCGACTGTGCCACACTGCCTGTTGCAGTGAGGATGTGAACTTCAACTAGTGGGACAAGGGAAGTCTCCATCAGCCTTGGACTTGGTAGAAATAGCAGGTTGGCTCTGAGTGTTGAGGAGCAGGATCTGGCTGACCTGGGGAGGACAACCAGGGGTTACTTCAGACATTTAAACAGTGGATATATCCCTCTGATCAGCAACCATGAAGTACAGACAGCCAAGAGTCGYTCAGAAAAACCAAATGTGTTAAAAATCCTTTGTGGCACTTGGAATTACATGGTTGGTTCTAAGATGAAGCTGGGGTCCAGAGGGGAGATCAAGCCCTGTTGGTATCATTTATTTTTGGTTGACCTTCAACCACCATTGTAGCTTCAACCATCCCCACTTCTGTGATCATGGCCTCTTCAACCTAATCTCTTGTCAAGTCCCTGCCCAAGCAAGAGCCACCTCAGCCCCCTGTAAATTACTTGGACTTGGGATCCCCACTTCACTGCACGTTTGCAGGATTAATGCCTTAATGTCCTGAACAGTGGTCCTTCAAGAGTCTGTCCATGTTCTCATCCTGGGTGCCTGGAAGTAGGTAAGAGCAGTGGTCACTTACATGGCAACAGATAGGACTCAGTTGGGGACATTGAGAGGAGGACCTCATTCATCTTGGATCATCAGAGCAGGCCCTAAGTCCAACGTGAGAGACAAGGGAGACACACGCAAGACAGAGGCCTATGGCTGGAGTGATTAAGGAGAATACAGAGCCTGGAGTGACCAGGCCACCAGTCAAGGAATGCCTGGGGCCTCCACATAGAACTAGGAACAGCTTCTCCCCTGCCGCCTCCAGAGGGAGCGGTCCTGCTGACGCCTTGATCTTGGACTTCCTGCCTCCAGAGTGGTGAGGACTACATTTACATTTCTGTTGTTTCAAGCCTCCCAATTTGTGCTCCTTTGTTCCAGCAGCCACGGGAAGCTGGGGCTGCCTTCCTCCCGGCACACACCCTCCCTGGTCCACCTCACTCTGGGACCTCCCCTGGGAACTGCACATTTACCCACCTCCTGGAACCTTCCCTCCTAAAGGCTTGCAATTTGCTGCCCCTTGTCCGTGAGCCCCTTGTGGGTGGCAGTGCATCCTGTGCACCTTGCGTTGCCCGTGTCCTTCAGCAGAAGAAAAGCACACAGAAAGGGACACAGCAAGCGGCACCGCAAAATCACAGCACCGGAAAGCAAGTGACAGTCAGAAACAACATGGGTCCTTCTTGACGTCTTGGAGGGAGAGGGAAGAACCCCACTTTGTTGCTTTCTGTGTGGGATTCTGACCACAGCGGGTGTGTGTCTGTGTGTGTGTGTGTTCTGTAAAGCATTTGGGTCCAAGATGGGGACAAGGTCTTCCCTTGCACAAGCCACAGGTTGTCTCTGATCCCAGAGATGCTGGGGTGAACCAGGACACACCTAGGAAGTGCCAGGACATATTTCAAGACTCTTCCTCACCTGCTCAGGAAGGCATCCAACAGGAAGCTTTGTGCTTCCTGTTGGGAAGGGTCTGTGGCAGAGGCACCCTGAAGACCCCTGACCTCCCTGRGCTGGCCTGGGGGAGTCTGCCAAGAGCCTGGGTCCTCCAACACTGTGCTCAAAGTCAGCTTCCCCCCTGCTGGAAGCCAGAGTAGCTAGAAGGAGCCACAGCTCCCCTGTATAGGGCATGTCCTCCTGGGGATTTTGAAATAGGTGCCCATGGCCGGTTCCTAGACTGGGCCTGGGGCWCAAGGCCCAGAGAGACTCTTTCTTTGATCTAGGTTTATTCTCTCGATTGGCTGGTGTTTCTCAGGGCCTCGGATCCTCAGTAACGACTTGGGGGATGCCTCCCCTGCGTCCTAACGGTGTCCAGCCCGGTGTCCAGGTGCGGATAAGAGCGAATACTCCGCAGCTGCAGTCACCAGCTGGGGCCCCACTCCCATTCTGGCCTCTTTCCCACATCCCTGCAGTTTTTCATCGGCCGGTGAGTCTGGCTGGAGGTCTGCAAAACAGGGTTGTAATCTGGGCAGCCGCGACAGCGCCCCGCTCAGGGAGTGAGGGGTGCGGGTCAAGTGACAACCACCTCCATCTCGGTCCGGATCTCTCCTCAGAGCCTGGGATGCTCGGGCCGGCAGCGGCGGCAGCAGTGGGGGGGACCTATGCCTTGTCTTTCGTCAAGACCAGAGAAACCTTTCTGCAGGGCTCCCCTCGGTCGCACTAAGCTCACTGTTCTGAATAACTGCTCTCTTGCTCCGGAGGGCAGTCCCCATCCCAGGCACACGTGCCCAGCCCTGGGTGAGCCACACTCCGCATCCCGCACCGCGGGGAATGTGCCCCTCCTTTCCCATCGTGCCCCCTTTATACAGGGGAGCGCTCTCATTTTCCATCCCTCCCCAACTAGAATCATTAAGGAACGCAGGGTCTCTGCCTCCGCCCTCCGCCTCCCGGACGCCCCCATCCCATCCCTCCGCGCCACCCCTTCCTGATCCTAGAGGCCCCGCAGTCCGGCGTGGCTGCAGCCAGCACCCTCGGTCCACCTCCCCTCTTTCGGGGGCTCGCTCCATCCCTATTCCCCTCCCCTTTCTCCTTCCCGATCGCCTGGCCCCGGCCGCCGCCCGGGGTTGCGCAGCCCGCAGCCGCTCCCCCAGCGCTGCGCGCCCAGGCAGAGCCTCCCCTCCGGGCGCTTGCAGCCGGCCTCCCCGGCGGGGTCCCGGGGGAGGCTCCGCGCCTAGCCCCGCGTTCCTTTGTGCGGCGGGCGCTGCGTCAGGGCGGGGGCGCGGCCGCGGCCACACGCACACTCACGCGCCAGCCCCCGGGGGCGGCGGAAGGCGGCGCGGAGGAGGGAGCCGCCGACCCAATCGCTCGCTCCCCCGCCCGCCGGCCGCGCCGCCTCCGCCATTGCTGCGCGCGGGAGCGGGCGACGCGGAGCTCGGAGCCGCTCGGAGGCCAGACCTGCGGAGCCTGGCGTGGGTGAGTGCGGGCCCCGCCAGGGACCGGGGTGGCCGTTCACCTGCCGGAGGAGCGACCTGGTGGGCGGGCGGGTCGACCGGGCTCCGCGGCCCAGACGAGGGACGACGCTTCCAGAGGGGCTGGGCAGGGGCGGCGCCCCCGGCCGGGGTGCGCCGGGCGTAGGGGTCGGGGCTGGTGAGGTGAGACTATTAGTACCCTCGCCTGCCGTCTCAAATCAGGCGGTGACCGCGGCGTCCTCGCGATCCCTCCCTGGGGGCGAGGCGGAGGCTGCGGTGCCCGGGACGGGACGGCAGGTGGGCGTGCGGGGCCCGCCTCCCTCCGCCCGCTTCGGCTCCTGCTCTCCGTGACTCCAGCGCGGCCTTCCCTCTGCAGGCGGCAGCTTTAGGTCTTCGGAACSATGGTTAAGTTGGGGAACAATTTCGCGGAGAAGGGCACCAAGCAGCCGCTGCTGGAGGATGGCTTCGACACCATTCCCCTAATGACACCCCTCGATGTCAATCAGCTGCAGTTCCCGCCCCCGGATAAGGTAAGCCCCCCCTCCCGCCCCGCCGCCGTATCCCCCGTGCTGCCGGGTGCGCACCCCTAATTCTCCCCCATCCGCTGCAACAAAAGAAACGCCACGTGCGCTGGGGACTCAAGTAGGGGCGGGCTTGGGCAGGCAGGCAAGGCCGGGCCAGGAAGCTGCACCCTCATGCAATTCTGGATCCGGTAATGTTGGGTCCTGTCTTAGAGGACACCTCTGTCCTGACGTGGAACTCTGCCAGGGAAAGGTCCCTTCTTGATGAGTTTTGTGGGCGTCTTCTCCAGAGGGAAATGCCCCTGGTYCCACAGTACTACCCAGCTCTGGGTCTGGGGTGAGATCAGGGGGGTGGCTGCTGCCTGTGCCTTCCTGTATGAAGCGGTTTCACCCTGCTTGGCCCTCTGAGGTGGGGAATTGCCAGATGTGCCCTCCCTAGAGGCCTGCTTCCTCTGCTTGTTGGTTTTGCCCATCTCTACCAGGCTGCGGGGCTGCGGGAGGGCGTGTGCGCTCACACTGAGCTTTCTCCCTCTTTGTTCCTTTTGTGAAATCTCCAAATTGGTGCCCAGGCTCACTCCTTGTTGGTGTAGCTGGGAACCCTCATTCATGCACCTTTCCCCAGGGCGTTGTTGCTGAATTTAAAGAATGCCCTCCTTTCTTGAGTGCAGCATCCAGTTTCCAGTATCTCTTTATCCAGTAAGGATAATATTTTGATGAGTTAACACTTAAAGGTTAATAGGGTTTTTAAGTCTAGACAATTGCATTGCAAAACTCAAGCCTAAAATCATAAACACAGTGTCTTTTTCAACTGTGCTGCTGCTCACACCCCACCCACCACAACCAGGAGCTTTCTCCCATTCCCCGAAGTGCTTTTACGTTTATTATCTCCCTGGTGAGGAGGCTCTGACTCAGGGCTTCCCGTTCATTCTGGCAGGATGGTGATTGCTGGCCACCAGCAGGGGTGGGGTGGCTGGGGAGGGCCCTGCAGTGGCCCTCCTGGTAGAGGCTTCCTTTATTCCCATAGCAGACCCTGAGAGGCTTGCTCAGCTTCCCAAAGTGGCTTTGCCTCCCTGACTATTCTCCATTAGGCGGGGTGGGCAGCAGGTGCTTCAGTTCCCGATAGGGATCAGCTGTTGGTCCAGGTTGGGCTTTGCAGGAAGGGTAGGGCTGCCTGAGGCCTCAGCTTCGACTACCCCTCCCTATCCAGGGATCTACTTAGCAGAGCCTGGCCTCAAGCCCCAAGGTGGCCTGTGTCAGGAACTGTGTCCAAGCAGCACCTCTGTGGGGTGACTCCCCCCACTTGGCCTGACCTCCTCTTGCGCCCTCAGTTTGCTCCACTCTAGAACTGTCTGGCACAGTTGGCTTATTACGGGGAGCAGGGTTTCAGGCAGGTATGAAATTCTGAGCAACCCAAATGGTTGCCCAGGCGTGGCCTATGCAGTGCTGAAAGGTGCTCTGCTGTGCCTGCGAGTGTTCAAACAGAGGGGCACCTGGCAGAGGAGCTCCAGAGAAGGGAGTTCCAGTAGGGACCAAGAGTGGGTAAGGAGGCTTCCAAAGACCCAGAGGAGACTGAGGCTGGGAGAATTTATGGGATGCACCCAGGGTCACTCGGGGGAAGGCCACAGTCCCCGGTACACAGGTTTCTGGCAGCGCCTCTTGTTCCATTCCACTTGTAGTGCGATGTCCTGCTCTTGACCTTTCTCAACTCAAAACAACTGCAAGGTGTTGCTCACAGTTAGGTTGAGGGAGGTGATGTCATCTACTCCTGGTGACATGGCATCCGAGGGCCAGATTACACACAGAATCTATCCTGAAGAGGTGCACTAAGTGGAGGCACAGCAGTTACAACAGCAGTGGTAGTCCCAGGGCTGGCTGCTGGCGTGTCAGGGACAGCCTCACCTGACGTTTGCTGGATGCCTGTTGTGCACGTGTTATAGGGTGAAATTCCTTTCATGTCTTGACCACACTATGAGGTAACTACCATCAGTGCTGCAGTTTACAGATAAGGAAATGAAGGCACTGGGTGTAGGGGACCTGCCCAAGGTCACCTAGCCTGTTACGGCGGGTGTAGATTGGTGCAGATGCAGATCCAGGTTAGCGAACGTTGACAGGTAACCACGCTGGACTGGGGTTCCACGGACTTCCTGGTCTGCATAGCCTCCCAGAGAGATAGCCTTGTTCTTGGCTTATGGGCCGATGAAGCAGCTTCAAATAGCAAGTGCATGTTCAGGGTCACAGGGCTAGTCAGGTGTGACTGCGATGTGAGGATGGCAGGGTGACACTCATGTGCTGATTCAGGAGATGGGCAGCAGAGCTTTAAGGGGTGGGCACTTTGGCCAACGCAGGCTGGTGTGCCCTCTCTGGTGCTCCTAGGTGAGCTGTGTGCAAAGGAGTGAGTGGGGCAGCAGTGGGGGTGGGTGGCCCCCAGATCTGGGATCACGCCGGCACTGGCCACTTTCTCCCTGTCCCTTCTCTCCATGGCTGGCTTTCCGGGGTCCACAGCTCAGGCTGAGTCCCTCCAGCTGCTCACCTGGGACTGGCCATCCTGAATTGCTGGATTCCCCTTGTTCTGCTCAATTGCCATGCAGAGCAGGGTGTCTCCCCCAAAGTATGGACCACCCAACGAAGGGGCATGTTCCCTCAGTGGGAGCATGTGGCAGCTGGTTCTTTGCAGTCCACAGCCACTGCCAGGAACCTGCTCTGGGGAGTGGGGTTTGTGGACTAGAGACCTGTAACCCCGGTCCCATCTTGAACCTGTCTCCAGGGGTCCAGTGTAGAGGTGTGAGGAAGACAAGGCCAGGGAGGCCAGGGCTGGGAGGTCCCAGGGACGAGGCACGGGGAGCCTGGGTCACCCTGAAATGAAGCTGGGGATGCAGGGGGAGGGGCCGTGCAGGGCAGCGGGCCGGGGTTGGTGAGTGGAGACCAGGAGCCAGCCTGAGGCCTGTGTCCCCTGGGCTTGCTGCCTGCCCCTCTGTYGAATGTGTGAACCAGTCCTCCTGTGCGCTGCCTGGGGCGTGGGGTACATAAAGGCCCTTGGAAAAGCTGATGCCTTCTGCTCTCCGGGGGTGGAGGAAGGAGCCCTGGAGTAGGAGTCGGGTGTCTTGCTGCCCTATCCAGTCACCTGTCAGCCACCTGACCTTGGCCAATGAGCTTAACTCCTCTGCCCCTCGGTTATACCGTTTCCTTCCTGGGGTTGCTCAGGATTGTGAATGGGAGTTCCTCTGACATGCTGGCACAGAGGAGAGTTCCAGTAGGTGGTGGCTGTTCTCATTCTATTTTGTGGAGAAAGGGTGACTTTGAACATGACAGTTCCCAGACATACCTTCTCAGGGCAGCTGTGTCTGAGTGCATCAGGCCACCACTGACCCCTTGCTTCTCTGCTTCCTGGATAAGGTGGTGGTGAAAACCAAGACTGAATATGAACCTGACCGCAAAAAAGGAAGAGCTCGTCCTCCCAAGATCGCTGAGTTCACTGTCAGCATCAGTGAAGGGGTCTCCGAGAGGTTTAAGGTGAGTGTGCCCAGCTGTAGAGATGACTGCAGGGGGACAGTGACCTGGCATGACACCCTTTACCTGGACTGATCCCAGCTGCGCAAACCTAGCAGCTGCTGGCAGCCCACCAAGATGGTATCCTTGTGGCTTTTAAAATCTTCTTCTTTCAAAATGAACATGTATTGTTTATTTTTATAACAGGGGAAAACCCACCTGTGAGCTTTCTTTTGATAAAGGTTATAAACCTATAAAAAAATCAATTCCAAACATTAAAATATTGACCTAACAGTTCCAGGAAGGAAGCGTGCAGCCCCGGTCATGTGCCAGACAGTGTACTAAGCCCTGGCCTGTGTGAGCTCATCTGAGCCCTGGTCCACAGGAGGCTGGTACTGACCTTGTCACCCATTTCACAGATGGGGAGGCAGAGCCAGGATCCGGGGCCCACCTGGCTGCAAAGCCCACATGTCCATCTTCCAGCCTTCTCCACCTCCAGACATGATGGGGATGCCTGTCCCAAGAGTCAGGGTTCTGGCTGGGTGGGGTGAGGAGGGACCTTCCTGACAGTCTGGTGGCAGGAACAAGTGGGATACTGATGTTCTGGGAGTGGGAAGCCTGCAAGAGAAGGTGGGATGGAGGCACTCACCTAGGTGTGAAGGGGTGGACCGGGAGACACAGGGGTCCCCAGGCCCTGACCCAGGTCCTGTGGGCGCCCTGATCACCCCTTGTGGATGTGCGAGCAGTTTGCTCAGGCTGGCACAGGTTCCGGGCCCCCTTGCACATCGTCAGGTTTGGACTTAATGATGTGAATTGCAGAAGGCCTCAGGACTGTCCCTGGTTAATGGATGAAGGGCAGCAGAGGCGGGTGGCTTCTCTGAACCTGCCTGCCTCTCAGGGCCTGCCTGGCGCGGACTCCTGGCATTGCCCTCTTCTGGCCTCTGGTGGTGTTTGCTTGGGTCAGTTTATCGARTCCTCCCAGCAGTGCTCTTACCTCCTAATGGTGGGCTCTATTCTGATGGCTCTTTCTGCAGATGGGGAGTCAAGGCACAGAGGTCTGTGTCTGCAGGACCTGCTGGGGTGACAGGGTGTCGAATGTGATGAGATGTTGCTGGCTCGGCAGTCGATAAGCCAGAGGTTCATGGCCAGGATCAGGATGGGCTGACCAAGGTCATCCCTTTCTTATTTTGGCCTGAGAGATTAGCATATGCCCTGTCAGTGGGCACTTGCCCCTATGCCCCATCCCCATCTTGGGATTGGTTCCCACCGCTACTTGAGGCAGGAATGACCTCAGTGTTAAGGTCATGGTATCTGGATGTCTGAGCGGGTTTCTCCTGCCCCATTCAACCCTTCCCCCCAGCCCTGTCATTGTAGGTCCCTGTAGGCCTGGAGCAGTGTGGCATCTGAACGGCTGCTCCTTCTGTTGAGTGTCCATATGTGCCAGGCCATGTTCCCTCTGTTGTCCTTGGCTTGTGCTTTTCCCACAAGCTCACCTGCAGCAAGTCCCTAGGTCCCTTGTCTAAGGTGTGGGTGACGCACATCTGCCACCAGGGCTCTTGGCAGCCACGGCTGGGACTCTGTGTGGTTACTTGGCTCCTGTTGCCCAGAACCTAAGGACTCAGAAGACCTCACATGGTTGGTCCCTGTCCCCGTGGACTGGCTCCTGTGGCAGAAGTCCTGCCTTGCCTCTGCTCCCRCCTTCCGGGCTGTTGGAAGGTGCCGTGGGGTGGGTGCCCAGCACACTGCTCTCCCACGAGCCCTGTGCTTGGTTTCGCACCGAGGGCGGCTGGCTGTCTTGCCTTTGAGGCCTGCTTCATGGCTCACACTGCATTGCTTGCTCTTTACAGACAGGGGTCAAGTTCCAGCTGGTTGCAGGGAGGTTCTGAAGCCAGTGCCTTTCATCATGACCTCCCATGGCCTTTCTCCAGCCCTGGCAGGAAGCACCCTGCATCCCAGACCTGTCCCTTTCCATCTCCTTCCCGCCTCTTCCTGTCCCACTGCCCTTTGTAGCGAGGCTGTGCCAGCAGTTGACAGTGCCCGCATGCTCCCATGAACAAGGCTCTAGTTCAAGGTCATTCTGCTCATTATCTGTTATCATCTACCTCATGAGGGAGGCACCACTGTCATCTCTGTTTTACAGCTGAGGGGAGACCAAGGCAGAGAGCTTGCCCCCAGGCAGCCTGCTCTAGGCTGTGGCACAAGAGGGCACCTGGCTTTTCCTGTGGCTGGTTTCTAAGGGGTCTCCAGGTCATTATTGTGCTGCGGTTGTTCTCTACATCCCTTTCCTTTGTAGATGCGAAACTCTTCCTGGACTTGGGAAGCTGAGGCAGGAGGATTGCAGATTTAAGGCAAGGCTAGGCAACTTAGTGAGATTCTGTCTCAAATTTTTAAAAGTCTGAGGATGTGGCTCAGTGGTAGAGCACCCCTCTGTTCAGTACCCAGTACTGCAACAAACACCCCCCACCCTACCCCCACCCCAGCAAAAAAAACAGCCTTCCTGGGCACTGTCGCCTGTGGTCTTGGAGTTGCTTCCTTGAGCCACTGAACGCAGGTCTCCCTCCCTCCCTCCGCACCCCTGCGGCCTGGGCTCTGCTGGGCTGCCCACTGTTGCCCTCTTGTCTCTGCTTCTCTCATGGGTTCCAAGTCCCTTCCTCTGGGGGACCGGGTTGGCCATGTTTCTCTTTGGGTGTGTGCGCTGTGATCTGGTGTCCTGGCCAGGTCTAGGGGTGGTCTTTTAAGGAAAAGTTCCCTCAACTGGAGTTGGTGACCTTGGGAAGGGAACCAGGCCATAGCAACCCCCTGGGACAGAATGTCGGCTAGACGCTGAAGGCGCAGGGACTTCTTGGGGACAGACTTGCTCAGAGCGACTGTGCCGGCATCACTCACTGCCATCTCTGCACACGCTCAGTAACACGCTCAGTAACAGCGTGATAATAAAGTGGGTGCCTCACGGTGCTGCTGGCTCATGTGAAGGGGGGCCTTGGTGAGGTCCAGGGTCTCGCCACGGGGCCCCTTGTGTGTTGAGTGATCAGTGTTGGGCCGCTCTCTGAGACAGCCCTCTTTAGACCAGCTCCCTCCAAGTTCTCACATCAGGGCAGGTGACCTGCCCCAGGCCTCATCCTAAGGGACAGAATCTGGGCCAGRAGCCTTCTGGGGGCTTATTTGCCTGGCCTGCTTCCTGGGACACCCTAGCTGGGCTTCATCAGCCTAATGTCCAGCTTCCTTAAGGGCCCCTCTTGCCTTTGCCTGCTCCTGAGGCCCTTTTGAATTGGGAAGGAGATTGTCCCTGTTCATTGCCACCTACAATGGCTGAAGCACAAGGGCCACCCCCAAAGCCTATTTCCCTGAGTGTGCTGGGGCTGCCCTTCTGTGAGTCGCCTGGAGTCCAGCCCTGGGTATGTGCATTTTAACCTGCTCTCCAAGCCACGCTCGTATTCACTGGGATTGAACCTTACATCCTTCCAGTGGCACAAGATGGGGAAGGATCACCAGAAATGCTAGGAGCGCCTACCCTTCTAGAACATTCTCCCTGCCTTTTATTGCCCAGCTCTACTTCTGTTATTCCTGAATGCAAGTGAGGCAGGTGACTGCTGTGTGAGGCTTCAGCTGGTTTCTGAAAATTGGGTGTGTCTGTGTGTGTGTGCTCATGCGCAGCACAGAGCTCCGCCCACCCTGGCCTCTGTGTGTGCCTCACTGGGTCAGTCCCAGCTGGGGCAGGTTGGAACATGGTCCTCATTCTCTTGGTGCCCGGAGGTTTCTGTGTGGCTGCTCAGCTCAGCCATTGGCTTGGTTCTTTTCATCCGTGTGTGTGAATGGACAGAAGGAGATCCTGCCTTTCAGATGTTTAAGCAACAAGTAAACAGCGCATCCCCTTTGTCTCTAATTTGTGTGGTTCAGGCGTGCCTGTCTTTATATACCTTTGGATTGCATCCTTGAAACGAAATGTCTTTTTGGATGTTACTTTATGATTATCACTCAGGGATTAATCTCTTGGCTACGAGGTTGCTAGGCTGGTTGCTAGGTAACAGCTAGTGGGGAAGAGCTTGGAAAGACTCGGCCACACAGGGATGGCAGGATGAATCACCCAAGGCCGCCCAAAGTCGAGGCTCCAAGTGGCTGGCGTCAGGGAAGAAGGCAGTCATTTAATTAATGGAGGGGTGTTTACAGTGAGAAGCAACACGGCCCGAGGTGTTTCTTCAGCCTCAACATTTTTCTAATGTTCTTTCCTTCTTGCTGATGCAGAGCAGTGTGGCACGCACTGGAGGGTGGGGCACTTCTCAGGGCCCTCCCTCCATCTGGGAGGGCAGAGGGGCCCTAATTGGGCAGGCTCCTGGGAGACTCTGTTGGGGCTGCTGGGATGCAGAGTGGGGACTTGGCACTCTGTACCCGCTCCCTGTGCCTGTGGGTTAAGGGTTTGGGTCATGAAGCCACCTTCTAGGCTTTAAGAGAGTCCAAGGTCAGCCTTGCACCTGAGCCAGCAGCTCCCACGCCCACGGGTCGGTGTGGGGTCGGTGTCGGGGAGTCAGGAGAGGCCAGGTCTGATGGTCCTGGAGTTGACGATCAGGCCCCCAGTGGGGATGTCCCTCTGCATCCTGTCTCAGATGATCCCATGGGTGGTTTGCATCTTCTCCTGTCCTTGATGACCTTCAGCTTCTCGGGTGCCAGTTTGTTTTCCACACTCTCCAGTAATCCCCTGGCGCATTCCGACATGCACTTGTTAAATATTTATGAACGATGACGCGTTTTCCTTGGCACTCAGCAGTGTGTGGGGAGGTGTGGGCCCTGCAGACCCCAGCCCCCGACCTTCAGCGGGGGGGCCACACATCTTGCGGGATGTGGCTGCCCACATCTGCACTTGCAGAGCCCCTGGGCTCCCAGTCCAGCGTGGAGTGGGGGCTTCCTCCAGAGCCAGGTGATGGCGTCGAGCTGTCTGGGGAGGCGTGTCTGCGTTCACTTCTGTGTGGGTTGCTGTAAATGCTTGACGATGGCAGGATTCGTCTTCCTTTTTCAGGATTGTTGTTGGT